GGAGAATAGAGATGAAGAGAAGAGAGGAGAATAGAGATGAAGAGAAGAGAAGAGAAGAGAAGAGAAGAGAAGAGAAGAGAGGAGAATAGAGATGAAGAGAAGAGAAGAGAAGAGAAGAGAAGAGAAGAGAAGAGAGGTGAGGTCAGAGAGTGAGTGTGTGGATAGGGGAGCTGTCCTTTCAGCACCACCTGCTGAACTGTGAGCTGCCCTTTAAACCTCCTCATGTGCTCTAACTGAGAAACTCCCTCCACTGTGGACGCCTACAGCGCTGAATTAAAGAGCCCGTATCAGTGTCAGCTCAGCACTCCTCTCTTAGTCTCAAGGCTTATCATTCACTCCACAGTCCAGACAGTTCACACATGCAAACTAGGCTGCAAAAAGAGGAGAGTCCAGAATTTGTGCTTTTTGTGAGGTCACAAATATGAAAGCCTTTACGTGCCCACCTATTCAGCTCATAGCAGTTTAGCTCCCCCTACTCATGTTGAAGTTAGAAGGTGTGTTGCAGCTAGAGCTGCTTTTTGAATGAGGTAGAATACAGGGCAGCCAATCAGAACAGAACCCATTTACATAAATCAGTCTTAAAGGCTATTAAAGGCGGTTTGTGGTTGGATCTAGACTCTGCATGAAGGTAGCTCTCCCGGACCAGGGTTGGAGAACACTGCCCTAAGAGCATGAAGAAGAACCACTGAGAGGAACCAAGACTCCAAAGGAGAAACTCCCAAACAACCTGAGGTAGAACTATCGAGAGGAACCAAAACTCAGACTGAAAAGGATTCTAAAATCATGAGGAAGAACTTCTGATAGGAACCAAGACTTAAAGGGAGAACCCTCCAAACAGCATGAGGTAGAACTACCGAGAGGAACCAAACTCAAATGGAAAAGCTCTCTAAAAGCATGAGGAAGAACCACTGAGAGGAACCAAGACTCCAAAGGAGAACTTCGCTCAGACAGTGGTCTCCAACTCTGGTCCTGGAGAGCAACTTCCTGCAGAGTTTAGTTCCAACCAGTATCCAGTAACCTGCACGACCCTTTTCTGGAGTCTAATACATCTGATCCACCCAATCAGGGACTTGGGAGGAGGTTGATTAGCTGGAGCTCTAGGCTCTGCAGGAAGGCAGCTCTCCAAGAGCAGAGCTGGAGACCACTGACTTACAGTGTTCCACTCATATTAAGACGCTGTAGCTGTTTTAATGCAGCTGATTTGTTTATTATAAGTGTTAATTCAGTCCTGCCGGTGTTAATTCTGTAGATTTATAAGCTATTTCGATCTCTCTTGCAATGATGATGTCAGCTATCACTGTCAGAAATAAAGGTGCTGTGCAGGTCCATTTTTCATTCATCAAGGTACAAACAGTGTAAATGTTCCCCCAAAGGTCCAACAGTGGTTTTAAGGTCTGATTGTGAACCTTAAATAAGTTTTTCCAGGTGAAAAGTTTGTGTTTGTACCTTTTCATAACTGAATGTTTTAAAACAGAACAGTAAAATAAAAGCCTGGAGTCGAGACGGGGTGTGTGGAGTCAGTACAGCTCAGAACATATCATTTCAGTGGATTGTGGTTCAGTTATGTTCCCTGACTAAAGGTACTGAGATGGACCCTTGAGGGTTCCACCCCAGTGACAAGAGGGGTCCTGCCCCAGTGACGGTTTAGTACCATTTATCTGGACAGAATGTACAGAGATGCCTTTAGTGACTAAAACTAGGAAGCACAGGAAAGGAAGTGAAGAAGGGGAAAAGATTTTTCTAAGTGTAATAATATTAAATCTATATTTAAATCTAAGTGCATTAAATAATACTAAATCTCTAATATTAGCTCTAACGGTTTCTCTGTCAGTCTATATGGAAAGTAATACGACCAAAATGGTTGTTTATTAACCATAAAAACCGATAAGAAAACGAATTTGCATAGTTTTTGCGTTTTGCGCCGTTTTTTGCGTTTTCTTTTTCGTTTTGAAGACCAAAAAACGTCCAGATGTGGGCAGTTACGCAACCAACAGCACGCGCGTGCATGCACACACGACCCCTTGTTTTACGCGCTGGCACGAGCGTCACTGTGTGTCCATTACACCGCAATAACATACAACATGACAGTGCTGAATGCGCGCGCGCGCCCCAGCCAATCTTGCTGATGTCACGCTTTTGCATTAAAAAAAGAAAAGAATCTCCTGCTTTCGCGCCCTGCACGCGACTTCCACGCTCCACACGCAGAAATAAAAGCAGAGTCCTCTATGTGCCCGTCTCGTGCGCGCTCAGCTCGAGATCAAACGCCAAAGCGCGTGCAGAAGGAGCTCGTCTGGTTCTCTTCACAGGCAACAGATGAGACACCTGTGGTTCACGGCTCGCACTGATAGAACGGGCCCTCAGCGCGAGAGCGAACCCACGCAGCACGAGACGCTTTACTACGTACGTTATTTCTAAATGATATTTATAGAGCGAGCGCGCGCACCTCGCCGAGCGGGAGCTATGCTCACGTGCATGCATAAGCGTGCACGCGCACGCTAGTGCGTTTCTCAGCTCTGCTCGTGTAAATACACCGATCAGGCGTAACATTCTGACCACCTCCTTGTTTCTGCGCCCATTGTCCATTTTATCAGCTCCACTTACTATATAGGTGCACTTTGTAGTTCTACAGTTACAGACTGTAGTCCATCTGTTTCTCTGCGTACTTTGTTAGCCCCCCTGTTCTTCAGTGGTCAGGACCCCCATGGACCCTCACAGAGCAGGTACTATTTGGGTGGTGCAACATTCTCAGCACTGCAGTAACACTGATGTGGTGGTGGTGTGTTAGTGTGTGTGAGTGGATCAGCCACAGCAGAGCTGCTGGAGTTTAGGCCTAACTGGGGTCTAATGTGCAAAAGAAATAGCACCCTTCTCCTCCTTCCCCCCTCCTACTCCTCCTTTTATCCATTTCCAATGGATAAAACTCATTTGCTTGTTCACTGTTGCTGTTATTGTGGCTCAAACAACATGATGCTGTCACAGATCTGCGTCTGAGTTTCAGTGTTTACATTAAGGCCTACCTACACTCTTAAAGGAACGGCTCTTCAAAGGGAACGGTTCTGTTTAGAACCATAGATTCATTCACGTGCTTAAATGGTTCTTTGCATGGTGACATCGTTCTTCAGATTGATGCTCTGTATAGCACCTTTATGAAAATGGTTCTGTAATGAAAAGGGTCTACTACTGTTACGATGTCAAGCTTGTAACATTAGAAGAACCCTTTTTGGTGCTACATAAAGCCATTCCCCAAACGGTTCTATGTAGAATCGTACACAACACATTCTCCATCAATCTCAAGAACCATTTCACTGTGCAAAGAAACATTTAAACACACACTCTCACACAAATGATTCTTCAAGGGTTCTTTAGTAAAGACAATGGTTCTATTTGGAACAATTTCATGCTTAAATGGTTCTTTGCATGGTGAAACGGTTCTTCAGATTGATGGAGAGTGTGTTGCATAAGATTCTATAGAACACCAAAAAGGGTTCTTCTGTTGCTGCAAGCTTGATATCACTATATTCTCAAACCATTCTCAAGAGGTTCTATACAGAACCATGTACAACACATTCTCCATAGTCTGAAGAACCATTTCACCATGCAAAGAAACATTTAAGCATAAAATGGTTCGACATAGAGCTCATGGTTCTAAACAGAACCATTCCCTTTACTAAAGAACCCTTGAAGAGTCACCTTTTCAAGGGTGCATGATGTAGAACCTTTGTCTTTACTAAAGAACCCTTGAAGAACCATCTCTTTATAAGGGTATATTTAAGGTTTTAGAGTAATCAATAATGAATACTTCATGCTGCAGGCTGTGAAGGAGCCGTTTGAGAACGTCAGTCAGGAGATAAGTAGGTGTCAGTTCTGCCTGGGCTCTAGTGCTGATGGAAGAGAACCGGTGAGGTATGTTGTTAAAGGGCCCGTATCATGAGGAACCAGGTTTCCATCACCGTTTTTTTCTAAATGAGTCAGATGCATAAACACGGTAAAGTTGTCAAAATGCACCCTCAGCCCATAAAGTCCACAAGAGGAAACTAAGCTGCAAAGTTTCAAAGTCACTGTTTTTGTGACATCACAAAGTGCAATGCATCTGCATACCCACGCCCACTCCGCCTACAACCGTTTGGCCCCACCCATTCACGCTGAAGTCATAAGGAGTGTTTCAGACTGCTGGGTGGCCAATCAGAACAGAGCTCATTTACATAAATCAGTCATAAAAGCACAACTTGTTTAAGAGAGGATGGAAAATAATCATGTAAAAATGAACTAAGACTGAGTTCAGATCTACACGAGGGGCCTAATAAAGACTTTATGGGGGGGGGCTGGTCATTTATGTACGTATACACACTTTTAAAAAGATGGTTCTTTCAGGGTTCTTTAGTAAGGGCAATGGTTCTGTTTAGAACCATGAGCACTATACATGCTTAAATGGGGCTTTGCATGGTGAAATGGTTCTATATGGCACCAAAACGGGTTCTCCTGTCAAGCTTGCAACAATAGCAGAACCATTTTTGGTGCAACATAGAACCATTTTCAAAAAGGTTCTCTGCAGAACCATATATACAACATATTTTCCAACAACCTGAATAACGATTTTACCTTGCAAAGAACCATTTAAGAATGCAAATGGTTCTATCTAGAACTCATGGTTCTCAATAGAACCATTGCCTTCAATAGAACCATTGCCTTCACTAGAACCATCTTTTTAAGTGTATATATAGAACATGTAGTAGTGATGACAGAATAAGTGTGTGGGGGTTCTCGTGCTCACCTATAGTAGCGGTAGAAGTGTGCGCGCGCGTAATCATATGTATGCGTTCCTCGCGCTCACCTGTAGTGGGGAATACACTGTGCGCGTGCATAAGTGTATGTTTGCGTTCCTCGCGCGCAACTATAGCAGTGATGGCAGTGTGCGCGTGTGTAAGTGTATGTGGGTGATTCTGAGGAGGAGGGGGGGCGGAAGGTGCGGTGGGGGGGGGTGGGTATCACCTCGCGCTCACCTATCGTAGTGATGACGGTGATGGCGAAGTAGAAAGACCCGGCGAACTTCCACTGCACGCCCGCGCGGTGCGGCTCTGCCTCCATGATGATGGTCTCGAGCTTCCTGTAGTCGTCCTCGCTGATGTTGTACTTGCCCTGCAGCCGCCGCTCCTCCGCCTCCAGCTGCTCCTTCTCGCGCATCTCGAAGTCGCTCTCGAGCGCGTCGAACACGGCGGCGCCCACCAGCAGGTAGGTGAACGTGCAGACGATCAGGGACAGGGTCCGCACGTTCTGCCGCTTCATGGCCGCCAGCAGCCGGCGCGTGCGGCGCGCATGACCCCCACGAGCGAGCCTCGAGCGCTTGGACGACGGTGGCAATGATGAAGGTGACGAGGACGATGATGACGATGATGAAGATGAAGATGACGAGAGGCACGAGAGGCTGCTCGAGCGCCGCGAGACAACGTGCGCGCACCAGCCAGTGGCCATTCAATTTCAAACACCATCCAAACCAACCACACACACTCACTCGCCACTCACGAGCGCGCGCGCGCACGCACACGCACACACACACACACACACACACACACACACCGGCGTCTCCTTCACAACCTCCTCACCTGCGTCCTCTTCTTCACCACATCGCCACATCATCATCATCATCATCATCATCATCATCAGAATCCTCTTATCCATGCCGCGCACGTGCGGTAAAGAAATCAAAACAAACAAGCAGAAGGGCACGCGGACGAAGACGCAGACGTGGATCCGCGCTTGGAAGCCGCGCGCATTTTCCCCTCTTCTTCCTCCTCTTCTTTATTTCCCCTTCTTTCTCTCTTTCGTTCTCTCTTCCCTCCGTCCTTCCTTCTCTCCTTAATTCCTCCTCCGACCGACACCGCCTTCAGAAAAGTTTCTCGAGCAGCTCCAACCTGTTAATGCTCCCCCTTCCAGCGCGCGCGCGCGCCCGCGAGGATGCGTATCCTTCTCCGGCTCGCGACTCTCCGTGCGCGCGTGAGAAGAGGTGGAAGAGGAAGAAGAGGAGGAGGAGGGAAAAAAAGAGTAGAGGAGGGGGGGTTACGATAGAGAAGGATGAAGAGAAAGAGGAGAAGAGGGAGGAGGAGGAGAGGGAGGAGGAGGAGGAGGAGGAGGAGGAGTCCTAGACCTCCACGGCATCGCCGGGGGAAGAAGAAGAACGAACAGAAAATAAAAGGATGCGCTGAGCTCGGGGTCCTCGACTCAGATGGTTCCAGATGTTTCCAGCTGCGTGTCTCTGTGTGAGGGGAGAGAGGCTGCGGAGTCCCCCCTCCCTCCGTCCGTCCGTCCTGCTGATCAGACTGGACACGGAGAGATGGAGAGCACGAGCGTCTGCGCGAGAAGGCACACAGAGAGAGAGAGAGCGCGCGAGCGCACAGCAGAGCGTAGAGAGGCAGCGCAGACTCACTCACTCTCACTCTCTCTCTCTCTCTCATTACTCAGGCTCAGAGTGGTTCTCCGTGTCCCCCCCACAGGTTGCTCCTGTGACTCCCTCTCTAACTCCTCCCACCTGTCTCTCTCTCTCTCTCTCTCTCTCTCTCTCTGATTGTATGAGCGCTGTAAGCGTCGCTTCAGATCTGTTTCAGTGTTTCACTACGTCAGCTTATCATTGCCTCTCTCTCTCTCTCTCTCTCTCTCTCTTCTTCCCCAACCCCTTCTATATCTTCTCTGTGTCTCTTTCTGTCTTTATGCTGCTTTTTCTCTCTCACATACTCTCTCTCTCTCTCTCTCTCTCTCTCATTCCTCCAACCTCTCAGACATCTCTTTCTTTCTCTGTGCCTCTAGAACCCATCTACTCCTCACATCCCCCACACTTAGAACCCACCTACTCCTCACATCCCCCACACTTAGAACCCACTCACTCCTCACATCCCCCATGCTTAAAACCCACTCATTCCTCACATCCTCCCACATAGAACCCACCCACTCCTCACACTTCTCACATCTTTACCTTGCAACCCACCCACTCCTCACATGCCCCCACACTTAGAACCCACCCACTTCTCACATCCCCCACACTTAGAACCCACCCACTCCTCACATCCTCCACCTCCATCCTTATCACTCCCCAGAACTCACCCACCCCTGACATCCCTCCCCAGAACCCACCCACTCTTCACATACCCCACACTTAGAACCCACCCACTCCTCACATCCTCCACACACAGAACCCACCCACTCCTCACATTCCCACACATAGAACCCACCCACTCCTCACATTCCCACACATAGAACCCACCCACTCCTCACATCCTCCACACATAGAACCCACCCACTCCTCACATTCCCCACACATAGAACCCACCCACTCCTCACATTCCCACACATAGAACCCACCCACTCCTCACATCCTCCACACATAGAACCCACCCACTCCTCACATCCTCCACACATAGAACCCACCTACTCCTCACATCCTCCACACATAGAACCCACCCTCTCCTCACATTCCCACACATAGAACCCACCCACTCCTCACATTCCCCGCACATAGAACCCACCCACTCCTCACATTCCCACACATAGAACCCACCCACTCCTCACATCCTCCACACATAGAACCCCCCCACTCCTCACATCCTCCACACATAGAACCCACCTACTCCTCACATTCCCCACACATAGAACCCACTCACTCCTTACATCCAGCTACCCCACAACCCACCCACTCCTCACACTCCTCTACCCCAGAACTCACCCACTTACTCCTCCCCACACACATTGCAAATGTATATACACATATCAGATATATTTTATGTTTATGACATTTAATCAAGAAAAAAGCTTCTTTTTATATTGTGTTATTTCATTATGACCACAACAAAAGAAACGGCCCAAAACTATTTGCAGCATTTCATAATGTAGTCGTATATACACATTACAGTTGTTTGTACATTATGATGCCCTCACTTTCCCACAAGTACACTACAGTCATATGAGGGCACAAATCCAGACATGATCTCATCACAGAAGCCAATGAAAAGTGAGAGCTGTGACTCTCCGTCTGTCATTGGTTGTCTGTGCTGTCTCTGCACACGTGAAGCGTTTATGGAAAAACAATAAGCAGAAGAGCACAAAGCCCTTCAAGACGAACGTTAACACTTTGCCCTTCGTCCTTCATGTAAAGAGCTGGTATTTGCTTCTTTACACATCTTTAGCTTCAGCACAGCATTTGCATGTCTAATAAGTGGCAGGTACTGCAGGGACTGAGGCAGAACCATCACGGGAGAAGGATTAAAGAGGCTCAAGGTCTCACGGGAAACCGCCTGACACAGCATTGATTTCCACACCTCTGCTTTCACCAAATCCAGCCAACTTGTCCTTAGGGTGGATGGTTTTCTAAAGCAGCCCACTGAGTACAATTTGCTTCCATATAAAGTAGCTCATCCTGTATTAGACATGGGGAGGGGTATGCCAAAAATATCCTGTTGCCATGCTCTTGCCATTCTCTGGCCCTTTAATAATGGTCAGTTTCTGACGACAGAGACGCTTCTTTTTTAATATTTTTGGGTGGTCAATCAGTCTCAACCTAGCAGTGACACTGATGTGTCTTAAACCCCCAACAACACCACTGCACATGGTGCTCTTATACCAGCACAACACACCACCATGAACACCACCATGTTAGTGTCACTGCTGAGAATGGACCAACATCTAAATTAAATGTGGACAACAATGGTCCTGTGGTCAGAAACTGACCAATCATGAGAAGGCTAAAGGAAAGGCTGATAAACAGTTATTGTAAACTTATATAGTGGGGGCTGGGGGGGGGGCTTAATGAAGTGGTCTGTGAGTGGAAGTACAAGGTGGGTGTTTCTAATAAAGTGGCCAGTGAGTGGAAGCAGAAGGTGGGTGTTTCTAATAAAGTGGCCTGTGAGTGGAAGTACAATGTAGGTGTTTCTAATAAAGTGGCCAGTGAGGCGAAGTACAATGTAGGTGTTTCTAATAAAGTGGCCAGTGAGTGGAAGTACAAGGTAGGTGTTTCTAATAAAGTGGCCAGTGAGTGGAGGTACAAGGTGGGTGTTTCTAATAAAGTGGCCAGTGAGTGGAAGTATGAGGTAGTTGTTTCTAATAAAGTGGCCAGTGAGTGGAAGTACAATGTAGGTATTTCTAATAAAGTGGCCAGTCTGGTCTGTATTAGCAGCAACGCCAGTCCTTTTGGCTACGTGACCAGTGGATGAAACTGACTCATCTCATATTTATCAGGCAGCAACAACAAAAACATCACAGCCATCATGCCACCGGCATCTTAGCATATTATAATAGCATGCGTCGCGAGACGTTATGAATTTGTGTTTGCAGCCGAAGCATACGCCGGCAGAACGCTGTGAACAGCTAAATTGAGACGTGCGCAGTGAATGAGGCGGCTTGGCGTTGAGGCTGCGCTGCGTTTGAACTGCAGTTATGTTTAGCTTCATTTTCTCACATTTCAGTCCCTCCCCTGTTCCTCCACAACACCCACCCACACGCTGAGTATTTCTGGATGTGTGAAAGAGAGAGAGAGAGAGAGAGAGAGAGAGAGAGAGAGAGAGAGTGATGAGAAGTTATCTCAGTCTTATATATTACACTCATAGAGCAATCGCAGGATCATGAGGTCAGTGGTGATAGAAAGTGATGGCTAACATTATGACTTTAATACAGTTTGAATGAAACCCTTTTTACTCCACTGTAGTCCTTCAGTCTTAGTCCAGTTTCAGTTCCACAGTCATTGGAAAATAAAGTAGAACGCATTAATCAATTCATCCTCGTTGACCCTGTCCCTCCTCCTGTAGCTCTGAGTCCAGATTCGGTCCCCAGTTAACAGAGTCTGATCCCATGTCTCACCTAGAAGCTCCAGAGAATTGAATGAATATTAATAGTGAGCTTCATCACTTATACCCTCCATGCTTTCATAGACTTGCTTATGTGGTTCCTGATACTGTATGAAATACTGCTGTCTATAAAAATGGACAGAATTCAGGCTTTAAGACGGCTGCTACTGATTTTAGCTATGCATCATGATTTTGTCCATGTTCATAGATAACAGTGTGTCATACAGTGTCAGAAACCACACACTCAAGTCTATTAGAGGTTTCTTAACAATTTGACACAGTTTGAGGCAAGCATGCAACAGTAATACATCTTAATATTTATAATTCAACCTTACATGAACAGGCAGAGAAGGTGTGAGGATTTCCATAAAATACATGTCTGTAATTTTAGTTCATTCCTATTGAATAGAATCATCATGCTTGTTGTATTTAAACTCTACAAGTATTGTAGTAACACACTTAAGATTTGGTTGG